GTCTGGGACGACAACCACTCTGACCTTCCTCCCTGCAGGCTTGAGGATCTTGTGAATTAGAAATCCGTCAAGAGAGCTCTCCCTGATCCAGTAGGGCTTTCTCCAGAGGATCCCTTCGATTTAGTTCCCCATTCTCTAAAACAGGGAGGACTAGAGGAAAAAAACCGAGGACCCCGGCATGCAAAAGGAAATGACTTCCCCATTTCTAGGGCTCCCCAAAAACTCGTCGCTTCAGTGTGAAAAAGAGCCCAATTCTTTTGGCTAAAGCTGGGCCTCCGTGCCAGCGGTGGGAGCTGGGGGCTCTGGTGCCCTGCGGTAAAACCGCGTGTGAAATATTGTAATTGTCGGCTTTTAAGATTCCCGTTTCCTCCCTGAGGAAGGCCAAGGGACTTTAGATCATTAACATCACAAGCCTCTGCAGTTCTTGCCAAACAGTTTGCAAGTGACTTAATCAGGGATACGCTGGTTGGCCGGCCCTGTTTTAATTTTATGGCGCTGATTAAGTTTCCTTAGCTAATATGGGTTGCTTTTTCGATTAAATTAAGCGAGAATCCCCTTCCGCTAGGTGGAAATACCAGAGGGCTGTTTGGTGGGCTGTAGTAATACATATTTCTTTTTTTTTTTTTTTCAATTGATACCAACTCCCACGTCACCTACCAGAGCTGCACTAAATAAAATCAATGGAAACTTAAATTAAAATTACTGGGGGCTGGCACTGCTGATCGCTGTCCTTTTTTTCCCCCTTTTTTTGCCACAAGGCTGAGAAGATATTAGTATTTAATGTATTAATTATGACGGCCAGATTCTCTCCTCTAATTATGTTCCCAGGGCCTGCATTTTCTGCTGGTGGGAGCAGAGAAACATTTGCAGAGCTTGACCAGAGTCACTTGGCTGGGAATGGAGAGGTTTGGGGGACGTTTTTTGAAGCACCCGCCTTGCTCTGGCATTTGGGAATGGTCTGTTTTTTGTGAGTTCAGTGCAGGGATCTTCAAACTTGGCAATTTTCAGACTTGTGGACTTCAACTCCCAGAATCCCCCAGCTGGGGGATTCTGGGAGTTGAAGTCTACAAGTCTGAAAGGTGCCAAGCTTGAAGAAGACTGGTTTAGTGGCTTGTTGGAGACCCTGCTAGCCCCCGCTCTTGGTCTGAACCAGTAGTGTCCAACCTTGGCAACTTTAAGGCCTATGGACTTCAACTCCCAGAATCCCCTAACCAGCCCTGAGACCGATCATAAGTCCTTTCCTCCAGCACTGTCGTACCTTCGAAGAATCATTGAATGAACAGTCGTAACTCAAGGACAACCTCCATAAAGTGAGTTCTCATTTCTTAGCCAAGAGGGTTAAAGGCCAGCCTTTTCACTAAAAGATTTGAATTTTGTAACGATGTACGGGTATTCTTGACTTACGACTGCAATTGAGTCCAAAGCCTCTGTTGCTAAGTCAGACATTTGTTAAGTGGATTTTGGCAACTTTTATGACTTTTCTTGCCACAGTTTTTAAGTGAATCACTGCAGTTGTTAAGTTATCTGGCTTCCCCATTGACCTTGCTCGTCAGAGGATGAACATGAACGCGGGATGACAACCGTCATAAATACGAGTCAGTTGCCGAGCATCCCAATTCTGATCACGTGACCCTGGGGATACTGCAACGGTTGCATGTGTGAAAAATGGTTATCAGTCACTTTTTTCAGTGCCACTGTTAACTTTGAACGGTCACTAAATGAACTGTCATAAGTCAGGGACTATCTATATTTCCTGGAACGGCTTTTAAGGTTGCCTCTGTGAGGTTTGCAGGTTTTTGGCCAGCTCCTCATTCTCCTGGTGTTTTTCCTTTGTTGCAAAGACTTTATGCATCCACCAGTTTAATTTCAAAGCTACAATGGGACGCCCCTCCCCAAATTTGTGGTCTGTATGGGAGGGGCTCAATGCTGTGGCTCCGCCCCATGGCAGTCTCAACCCAGGGGTCACCCGCCACAGACAAATCAAGAACTGGTTTTATCTGGCTTGGGCTGTGGCAAAGTGATGGAAAAATTGCAGTTTGTGCAAAAATGCAGCACCAAGGTGATTAAACGGAGCTCAACGGACAATGACAGTTGTGGGAGAGCTTTGCTACAGATGGAAAGCGCAGTTTTTTATTAAAACGCCCGGCGCTCTCACCTGTAATTAACTTTGGAACACTTTGCATTCTTCGGATGTGCTTAGATATTAACTTCTCTCTCTCTTCATTTCCCTCCCCCCCTTTTTAAAATTTAAACAGGGGAAGGAATACTGCTGCATTGTAGGATCTTAAAATAGCAACCTGAGTTTCAATAAAAATGATCTCCTGCTTTGAATTTGCTCGCACATCCTATTTAAACACACTAAGCTGCGCTTTCTTTATTCCTTCCCTTAATCAAATATTTGAAAAACTTCTAAGACAAACTGTTTTAATGAACGTTGCCAAGGGTGTCTGTTCCTGCATGCCAAAGGAGGACTTCAAAACTTCCTTGCTGTTTTAGGGAAGGGTTGCCTAAGGTCTCCCTGGACGCCCAGAATAATTGGGGATCTTGGCCATCTTAATCTATGGAATGACCTAAGGCAGGGGTCCTCAACCTTGGCAACTTTAAGACTTGTGGACTTCAACTCCCAGAATTCCTCAGCCAGCAAAGCTGGCTGGAGAATTCTCAAGAGTTGGTTTACCCAGCAACACATGGCCGCGGTTGGGAAACTCTGTTCTGAGGCTAGAGAGACCCTCCAGTGCAGGTGGAGAGTCCCAGGAGCAAAGACGGGACCTTCAACAGATGCAGCCATCCTACCGTTGCAGTGCTGGACACCAGCAGCATCTTGTTCAACCCTTTGCAGGAAAATTGATTCTGCCATCTTCCAGAGATGGATGTCCAGGCTCTTCCTAAACATCTCCAGAGGTGGAGAACCCAACCCACAACCTCCATCAAGAGATTCTTCCCCCCAAAGGTGAAATGACACGTGTGCCTGCAGAGTGTGGCCATTTGGTCCAGGTGGCCAAAATGGCATGACCAAACTCTGCCTATTTATAGGCATCACATCAAAAACGTGGAATTGTTTTTGCTAGGTGATATTAAGGAGGTTGTATTGATGTTAAATTTAATTACAGCCGCAAGGTTGTTAGTAGGGCAATATTGGAAGAAGGAATCTTTGCCTACTTTGCAAGAGTGGTTTTCTAAAGTATCCTATCTAGCGGAAATGGCAAAGATTTCAGCTTTTTTAAAGGATCAATCGCAAGAGAAGTTTTTTGTGGTATGGGAAAAATGGGTAGATTTTATACAACATAAGTTGGATATAAAAAAATATTATTTAGTTTTTCAATAACTCATATATAAATTTTAATATTTTATAGATTGTATTATTTTTTCTTTCCTTTTATATTTTTTATTATTATTTTATTTTCTTATATTTCCTTTCTTCTTTCTTTCTCTTTATTTTTTTTTCTTTTTAAGTATTTTTTTTCCTTTCTTTAATATTTATGTTTTTTTATATATATATATTATTGTTAATTATTTTATTAGTTGTTTAAGTAATGTATTTAGACTTATCTATGGTTTATACTTTTTTTTTAAGAATTCAAGAAACTTTAATTAAGCCTATATTCAGCTCTGGGAAGGCTGAGGGAGGGAATGGGAGGGTTGGGGTGGGTTGGGGAGGGTTGTTTTTCTCCTTGTAAAAATTTTAAAAATTTTCAATAAAAAAAAAACATGGAATTTCAATCACACCATTGCAGCTGCCATCTTTATTTTTTTTACTGCCCCCTGCAGGAACCATGCAGTGATGCACATTGTGCTACTGGTGTGCTGATGCATAGGAGGGTGCATTGTTGTGTTTCCTGGAGCACTGAGTTGAGAAGGTGCCTGTTGGGTACATGCCATTTTAAGATAGCGAGTAGAGTAGATCGGTCAGTACCATTTTTATCCCTTTTTCTTTCTGCTTCAGTGCTGCTCGATTTCTGCCACTCAGAAAGGAATTCTTAAAATCTCTGCAGTCAAAAGGAAAGTGGAATCTTCTACTCTCTGCAGATTTTCAGTCAACAGAAGGAAAAACATTTGTTTGGGATTTAATTTGTGGTGCTCGTAAATCTCCATATAGTGATCTGCTTTGGGCACTCCGAAGCCCATCAGGCGAGGCTTTTTGTGCATTTCAGCTTCTTTGTTCTTTTGGGGGGTGTCTGTGAGAAATTGTGCCTTTTGCTTCGGGTCTTAACCGAAAACTTCATGAAGTTTACTTGTCACTATTTCCTTCTGTTCGAGAACGCTGGGCTCTGCTTCCTCTCTTTTCATGGAACAGCGGCCTCTTGTGGCAGGCGGGCGCCAGCAAAGGGAGCAATGGGGGATTGGAATTAAAGAAGAATTTTCATTTTTGTGAGTTTGCAGTTATACTTTTGTGACGGGTGAACTTCTTTGGGCCTCAGTCTGGTTGAGGTCTTCGGTAATGGTTCCTTCAGCATCTCCTTTTCTGTCCATTGAGTAGCTCAACCTGGAACGGATAAATACAGCGAGTCCTCTACTTATAACCACAGCTGAGCCCAAAATTTCTGTTGCTAAGTGAGACATTGGTTAAGTGAGTTTTGTCCCATTTATGACCTTTCTTGCCACAGCTGTCAAGTGAATCCCTGCAGCTGTTAAGTTAGAAACACGGTTGTTAAGGGAATCTGGCTTTGCAAAAGGGGATCACATGACCCTGGGGGACGCTGCAACCATCGTAAATACGAGCCAGTTGCCAAGCAGCCAGATTTCATCACGTCATCACGGGGATGCTGCAGTGGTCATAAGTGTGAGAAACAGCCATAAGTCACTTTTTTCCAGTGCCGTTACAACTTGGAACGGGCACTAAAGATGAACTTTTGTGAGTCGAAGACTACTGTAAATTCATGAACTGCATTTGAACTGAGCAGTGATTGACCTCAGTCTTCCCAGCTGCCATCACTCGTCAGGGAGCGTTCCTTGGGGCCCTTCCTTCCTTAACGTGCTTTGTTCTTCTTTTCCTCCCTCAGGAATTACTACTACATCACCATCCTGAGGGACCCAGTTTCCCGCTATCTGAGCGAATGGAGGCATGTCCAAAGAGGAGCCACCTGGAAGGCCTCGTTGCACGTCTGCGATGGACGCTCACCCACGTCCGAGGAACTTCCTAGCTGCTACTCGGGGGACGACTGGTCTGGCTGTTCCCTGCAAGAGTTCATGGACTGTCCCTACAACCTGGCCAACAATCGCCAAGTCCGCATGCTGGCAGACCTGAGCCTGGTGGGCTGTTACAATCTGTCCGTCATGCCGGAAGAACAACGGAACCAGGTCCTCCTGGACAGCGCCAAGGAGAACCTCAAGCGCATGGCCTTCTTTGGCCTGACGGAGTTCCAGCGGAAGACCCAGTACCTCTTTGAGAAGACCTTCAACATGAACTTCATCTCGCCCTTCACCCAGTACAACAGCACAAGGGCTTCCAGCGTCGACATTGATGAGGCCACCCAGCAGCAGATCGAGGCCCTCAATTTTTTAGACATGGACCTCTACGATTATGCAAAAGACCTTTTCCTCCAGCGGTACCAGTTCACGAGACAGAAGGAGCACCAGGAAGCCCGCCGGAAGCGGCAGGAGCAGCGGAAGAACTCGCGGGCCAAGCAGGGCCACAGTAGAGAGCAGGACGGCCGAAACGCAACCACGGATTACATTGGAAATGTGGAACAGTGGCGATAATCAGGGCCCAGAGAGGATGGGCAGAGTCAGGCACTTCTCTGGGAGAGGTGGGGGGAGGGGTGGATGCGGGCAGCCTTTGGCATTCAGTGTTGTGCTGTAGGTGGGTGGACCTTTGAATCTCTGTGTTGTCTCGGATCTGTCAAGAAAGAAAGGAAGAAAGTCTGGACTGTTGGGTGACCTGGCAGGCCATCATTCTCACTCGCCAGGGATTGCCAAGTAGAAATGACGAAGGCTGCACTACAAGGACTCTGGGGGGGGGGAGAAGGTGGAGGGATTCCTGAGATGGGGAGCCATTTCCAGATTTTATAAGGTGGGCCTGAGATTCTGGTTGTTTTTTATATTCCACCCAGCTCCCGGAGAGGAGAAAAAGCCCGGGCAGGGAGTATTGGGCCATCGGGTAGCTGCAGATCCATTCATTTATTGCTTTCAGCCTTGCGTCTTCAATTGGAGAAGCCAACCATTGCATTTAATGCTCTTCATTGCAAAAATGCCTTTTGGCCATAGCCTAGGTGCTCTCTATTTCTTCCTGCCTTGGCGGGGTCTTTGCTGAGGGGGTGGGGCTTCCCTTAAGCTCCACTCCTGACATCCGGCCAACCCAGGTAGGATAAGGGGCTGCCGCCTCTGGCCACTAAAAGCGTGACCAGTGGTGGCCAAAGTGAGTCCAAAGACAGGATTGCCTGTCCAGGTCAGCATTGCCACTCACTGCTACGTCACGTCAAGTCTCCTTCTGCCTCTAAGGTCTATTACCCTATTGGGGAGGGTGTCAAAATCCTCACTTCCCCAATGGTGGAAGTTCAAGACCTAATTGTCACCCTTCCCCTCCCACCGAAGTGATTTTCAAAACTCCAAAAAGAACATTCAGATCCTTTTTAAGGAGTTTGGCGCTGGCTGCATCAACATATTTTGAAAGGCTGCAAACGGCCGCAGAAAAAACAAAGATCAGCTGGTTTGAGGCGTAAAAGGGGAAAAGCTTGAGAGAAGAAGCTGTTGATGAGTGTCTGGTGTAAATTGGCTTTTAGCAAAGAGGAGAAGATTTTGCCTATAAATATTTAATCACTTTTTAAAAAAGAAAAATCTGACTGCTGCTGCTGCTGATGGATCGCAAGCTTGTTTTATTTCGGGGTAGAAAGTGAGAGAGAAAGATTGACATCATACAACGCAACCGCGGGCTTTTCTGAGGCGGCTGAGTTTTAATGCATTTTAAAAGTATACGGGAACATTTTAACATTTTTGGAAAGAGAGATGGCCTTCCATGCCCTCTGTCCACTTTAATAATAATTCTTGCAATGTGTGTATTCTTTTAGAAAGGGGGGGGGGGTGAAGCTTTTATCCTGGAAAAATTCTCCTTTTTTTTTTTTAATTATTATGGTAGATGCTGTTTCCCAATAGAAGCAGCGTTCATCAGAGGGGGCAACTCCAACATTTGTTTTGCTTTTCGGACACTTTTTATGACCCAGCATGACATTTGAGCATTTGCGGGGATGGCTTCCAGTTATCATCAAATTTGGGGGGGGGGGATGAGATATCGCTTGTACTTGGAAGCAGCTCAACAAGGCAGAGCTTTGCAGTTACGAACCTGGCTTGCCAGGAGGAGGAGGACACCGATAGAGAGGGGCTGTTTTCCTCAAGATGCACTTACAAGGAGAACTGTGGTCTTGAGAAAATGTCCTCTGCTTGTTCTGATTTAGATTGCAAAATCTGGGGAGGGAAGGAAAGGAAAGGGGACAGTTGGGTCTTCTTGCTGCCAGGGCAGGGTCCTGCGTGAGGCATATTACAGGGTCTTGTAACTTGTGGACTTCAACTCCCAGAATTGCTCAGCCAGCCATGCTAGCTGAGGAAGTCTGAGAGATGAAGTCCACCAACTGTAAAGTTGCCAAGGTAGGAGACCCCTGTGCTGTGGGAATCATTTGCCAAGTAAGGTAGTTGGCTATATCTTGGTTGTATGGAGACACAATCCTGCATTTGTGCACCCAACATCCAATGAGTATGGGGTGCAAGAAACTGCACGCCACGTACATCTGTCAACAAGGGAGAGACAGACACCTGTGTGTGGTGTCCAATGGCACACAGCACTTTTTTGAGTGAAGGAATCCAGTTTTTCTGGTTACGTCAGTACAGTGATGGCTGTCTTGATGTAAAGGTAGGAAGACGGAACTCCTGGAAAACCAACTAAGCTGATAAACCCAGGAAGGTGTCAGCAGAGCCTTTGGGTACATAGAGGCAAAGCTGTTCTTAAATATCATAAAAGATTCTAAAGTGTCCAGCTGTGTCATTTCCAGTGGTCTAAAAGGAGTGGTCATCTTGAATAATGGTCGTGGTCCCTTTCTGAGAAATGGCCTTTCCTGTCTGTTGTGTGTCATGTCTGCTTGGTATTTGCAACAACGGAAACCAGCACACAATTCCCAAGGCAGGAATCCTAAATCTACACCAGGGGCGTCCAACCTAGGCAACCATGAGACTTTTGGACTTCAACTACCAGGATTCCCCAGCCAGCATGGATGGCTGGGGAATTCTGGGAGTCGAAGTTCACAGGTCTTAAAGTTGCCAAGGTTGGACATGCTTAGCCTTCAGCATTGGCTCTCCATTGGCAGGTGGGGGTCTAGAATATGGGCAGTAGCTGCAGGGTTCCAGATGTTTTGGAAGGGGTCTGGCATCAATTGAGGCCTTCTGTTCCTTGGTCCCTTCAAGAGAAGCTCCTGTTTGGTGGTTTCCCTCCCCCCCCCCTCTTCCTGATGCTAGGAAATAACCCAGAAAGTGGAGAACGGGGCTATTTGATGCACTTGGACAGTGTGAATCTCTATGCAAAACTCTTGTGAAGATTGCAATGACACATAGTACGTGCTCTGTGCTTTGAAGCATTTCTGTCCTGATGACCACAGTTTTATGAACTTTGTTGCTGTACTTCCTTCTCAACTCTGGGGAGCGGAGAGACTTGTGGAAGGTTTCCTTGTTTCAGGCATACTGAATATTAACCAGCCCCCACCTTCTTTGGAAGACTTAAATCTTTTAAAATTTGGACATGACATCATAATAAGCCTTGATGCAAAACACATCCCTCAGAGGATGGCCTGGACCAGCTGCTTCTTCAGATGTGCTGGGACCGAAGTCCTCAGAATTCTTGACCTGTATGACAAATCTGGAGGTCACAAAGTTAGCAAGAAACCAATGTAGAATTTTGGGTTAAGTTATCTGGAGTTTTTTGCAACAATCATTCCTTTAGAGCAGCAGCTTTAAGATAGGAGCAGTTCGACTTCCAAAATTCCCCAGCCAGCATATCTTAAAGTTGCTAAGAAACACTCTTTTAGATCCCTAAAATTTTAATGATTCAAGAGGAGTGGGGTGGGGCACATCTTGCTAAGAAGCAAAAAAAGGGGGAGATTGCATAGTGTTTTAAAATTGAAATAAATAAAATGCCATTCTAGCATCTAGCCCTGATTTTAACAGAGAGAGATACTCAGCTCTCAACAAAGAAGCTGGCCCAGTGCTGAGCCCTCAAACAGCTCTTTATCAAGAGATGCAATTTTGTCCTTATGCTGTGGTGTGCATGGTTTACAGCAGCGACAACAACATAAAAACCTTTCCTTTGTGTATACTGTTTGTTGTATATAGGGGTTGATATGCATATAATTTTGTCATAACCATACAAATTCTTCTGGTTTCTGGTATAGGCCGCTGTGTTACTGTATAGGTTTACAACTGGTGAACATGGGGGGGGGGGGCTAGCCAAATTCAACTGACCCGGATGGTGTAATTTATCAATAGAGTTGATGAAATAAACTTGAATTACTGTCTTTGACTGTGGGTTGATTATTGGAATAGCTCTGACTGGGTTTTTTTCGGGGCCCCACACTGATGCTACAGAACAGCTACCCTGTTTGCTGACTCAACACCTTCATAGCAAATCCAGGTGGCTAACAAAACATGAATCATTGTGGCTAAGAAGAACAATTCATCACAACCCAGAGTTTCTAGTGTGCATCTTGAAAAAAACAACACAACCCACTGCAGTCTAAATCTCCGAGCTTGGAAAGTGGTAAGACTTGTGGACCTCAACTCCCTGAGTTCCCCAGCTAGCATAGTTGGAAGTCCATAAGTCTTAAAAGTTGCCAAGTTTGGAGACCCCTGGTCTAGACAAACCGGAATCTCAAATCACGGGGATCCAAGCATTAGGCAGCTTTTTTCTCTTTTAGTAAGGGAAAAATTAGAAAATTAAACCTTGGCCAAATTTCTCTGTCCCATCTTACAGTAGACAAAATCAAAGTGGAGATATCCTGATGTCTATTTCAGGTTACCATCAAAGGGACCGTCTTAGTCAATCTTCTCTTCGCGACACCCAGAAATGATGTACCCGTAAGTCTTGCAACCTGGAAACATTCCGGCTCCTGCGCATCTGGAGAACAGCTGTTAAATGAAGCTGCACACATCTCCGTGGCCACAAGGGGGCAGGACAGCTCCGATCACAGATAAGATTTTATTACATCCGGTATGTATATTTTCTCCAGATGGCTAAAGTCAGTGGATGCACTTGCAAAGAGCTGCATTGGGACTTGGAAAATTCATCCATGCGATGCCGGTCTGCATTTTGTGTGTGTGTGTGTGTAGTGTTGATATTCTGAGCATTACTTATGTCTTTCTCTTTCCGACATTAATAAGTAGCCAGGATTTTCCCAAAGGTGCTTTTTGAAAAGACAACTGGACTTTGTTTTTCCTTGAAGACGTTTCGCTTCTCATCCAAGAAGCTTCTTCAGTTCTTCAGTTTCTTCCTCTTCAAGGAAAAAACAAGAAAGTCCAGTTGCCTTTTGAAAAAGCACCTTTGGGACAATCAAGACCTGGATAATTGAGAATCTCCATAAACATTTAGCCAGGATTTTATTCCCAGGAAGGGAAGTTGGATATATTAGAATTTCTTTTGAATCAACTTTGACGGAAGCTTGAGGGAAGAATTTGGCAACCCACAAGAGCATTCCAGAAGCCAATTCAACAGTGATCTCAGAGTCAAAATATTCTCCCTCCCCACAGCAAAACCCAAAATAAACAGAATTCCAAAGTGTGGAATTGAAGATAGGGGGGACATTTTTATTTTAAGTCTCCAAATAATTATTGCTGGTTTCAGTTCATTTGATGAGCTTTAAGAGGGGAAAATATATGTAATTATTTAAAACACTTATTTGGCTTAAGGCGTGTCCTATACACATATTTTATAAAGTATATAAAAATGCTTGAGGCATTCACTTTTTTTGCATGGAAAGATTTTCTTCGTTAGCTTTTTTTGGCAAACTGAAAACTCCCAGGTATCTTTCCCTGTTCCAAAGTTGTTGTTGTTTAACAGAAGTGTGTATGTGTGTGACAGATGGTTCCCTGGTTCAAGCAAAGAATCCAAAACCCACCCACACCCTGAAACTACATGCAACAGCCTGCAGGGGGCAGTAAAGCAAAGAAAATGTGGTTTACACTATTTTCATATAGGGCACTTTCCTTCTCCCCCTTCCCCATTTATCTGATTTTAATCTCATTGCCCCAAAGATGCAGGGATCCTGCAGGAAAAAAGGAAACAGCTAACAAGTAAGCACATATTAATAATGAACCAAAAGCTACAAAACCAACCATAAGAAAGCAGCATAACAACCGGCGGCAGGGTTTAAAACCATTATATGGAAAAGTTGCTCAAAATAACACTCTTTCTGGCACTGAGAGGACAAGAGGTTGGAAGGGAAGGACCGAAGGCTTCTGAGGAACCATCAAGACTCCCCGGAGGGGGGAGGAATATTCAATGAAATAAATGCGGGGGGAGCCGGCAGTTCCTTAAATGCTGCCGCTGCAAACTCGGATCATCCCCCAATGCCAGCAGCAGACATGGAAGGAGCCTGGGAACCAGTGCTGTTGACACAGCAGATGGCAAGATGGAAGACCGGTTTTTGGCATCCTGCCCCCGCTGCCTTTCCCCGACTGTCTTCCCCGGCAGCCCCCACAACAGCCTCCTGCAGGTGTCTCGCCCAGCCTTTTGCAGAGGCTGCTTTGCTGAGGCTGTGCAGACAGTGGCGTGGACGGAAGGTGCCACGCCTCGCCCTCCCCTCGTGAGCAGCAGCAGCAGAACCAGTTGGGCAGAGTCGCCCTGCCAAAAGCCCTTCCGTCATCAGCCAGGCAAAGGCAAGGCACACGTGCAAAGCCAAGACTCAGCTTCCCTTCCAAGGGAAAATCCTGCACGGTCAGCTCAGCTGAATGAGCTGGAAATCAAGCTGGAAATCACTAGCTTTGCCGGTTGAAGGCCTCTCTAGCCGGCCCCTACCTAGAGCTTCTCTCTGTTGCCTCATTTCTCTGCTGAAAAGGGGCTGATTGGTTAAGCGCTGGGCTTGCCGACTCCCTGATTGTGCCAGGTCTCGGCCCCTCTCAACTTGAGAAATCCATCCCCTGTGATCTAATGAAGGGCTTTGGAAGTTTTAATTTGTTTTCCCAGATTGGATTTGCAAAATAGCCTGAATTATTCCAATAGGCAGCGCGGTCCCTGCGGAGCTTGGATGCCGGATGATCCCTTCTCGTTTTGGACGGGCGAAGGAAGGCGGTTATCTCCACAAAACTCAGGCCGAGAAAGCAGATGGACAACACCGACTCTAGAGGAAATGCTTTAGGGAAAGAACAGAAAGAAAGACTATTTTATTTATTGATCCACATAGTTATTAAAGCTTGTATGCTACCTGGATTTAAACACTCAGTGTCTTGGTGCTTTCCTTAGTTGGCACCTGTCTAAAACATTGCCCTGAATTTCTGCAGTGACTTCCTGTTTGGAAGAGAGACTTGGGGTGCACAACATGCAAGAGAGGCCAAATTGAATGCCTGCCTTGCTGTTGAACCCAGGATCTGTGGTTCAGAGAAGCTTGCTAGGTATTCAAGGAGTTCTCTTTGAGCATATCTCCTGCTTCGTTAGAATCCGGACTACCGGAAGTTAATTAGCTGAAGCTGCTGGTTTCTGGATGAAGAAGGGAGAAGCTCCCATTATTATCAAGCAGGGCTGGGAGGCTCTAGCTGCCCCTCAACACCTGGCTGTCTGGATTTTCCGTGACTGGTGGCTGCTGGTGAGCAGACTTTGCCGCAAGAGGTGGTGGCACCAACCACCTGCAAGCCCTTGTCTCGCACACTCAATTGCTTCTCCTCCTCCTCTGGGTTCGGCCTTCCAGTTGTTCCTCTTCTGGTCAAAAGCTTGGCTACCCTGTCAGTGGCAGTGAATACTTTTGGACCAGTCTGGGTTTTGCTGAAAAAGTAATTTTTGCCTGCCCCAGAGTTGCTGCTACCAGTCCATTCAATCACACACACAGAGAGAGAGAGAGAGGGGGGGGGGGAGAGAGAGAGAGAGAGTTAGTTCTAGAAGTGGGAAATTAAATCTCTTCTTTGGCGCTCCCCAGTTGGCCCCGAATGGTCTGGCGTTTGACCATTTAAGCAAGTCTTTTCTATCCAGGGTTTCATCAGCATGTGGCAGAATTGATTTCCTTTTTCTTTCTCTTCTCCCAGCATGACCCATTTTGCCTCTAATGGGCTTGGAATCCAACTGCTCTTTCTACGGATTCAGAAAGCTTTTTTCTTCTCTCTGCACTGGTGCGCTTGTGCAGTCAATATTTCTTGGGCGTAAGGAACATTTGCTTACGTTACAGTTTTCAAAACAGCTTCCGTTTAGGTTAAGGGATGCCTGGAATAGGAGGAGTGCAAAGACACGGCAAGCGCCCTCAAGCCTTCCGTCCTTGCAGCAGAGTTTACGCACCACCCTGATCTCCCCAGAGTTGGATTAAGTCTGTACAATTCTATGCAAGAGCCCTTTGATTTGCAGGTAAACAAAATATTCTCTGGAGCCCTGGATCCCGTTGCTACCAACTCAAGGCCCAAATAACAGTTGGATGCCAAGTCGCCACTATGACAAATGTCCCAAGGCTTGGGTGGCATCTTGGGAAGTTGCTTTGTTTGTGTATCCTTTATTCAATGCCACCAAACTTTATGCAGTGGAGGAGATTCTCTGGAAGTTTATGGGAAAAGAGAAAAACGCCACATGCAGGGAAAATCTATCTATCTATCTATCTATCTATCTATCTATCTATCTATCTATCTATCTATCTATCTATCATCTATCTATCTATCCTATCTTATCTATCTAAAGTGGTCCATGGGAGGAATCCCCAGCCACGTCTCTTGTAATCACCACTGGGGTTCAAATTCCTTGAACTGCTATAAAAAAAGGTTCCAACTGATGCCGGATTCATTTTTTGCCCTCAATTAAATCAATCTGGAAAGCAAATAGCCCCCCAAGATGTGAGACTGATTTACCTGAGCTCCTGGAATTTGATGACCAGGCGAAATAAATCTCTCCTTGTTGGACAACCAGGAACAGCTGCCGGAGGAGACGCCAGGAATGCTCTTCATTTCTCAGGCCCTGAAGAGGGAACAGCTGGCTCTGAAGTGGTCTGTCCTGGGATGACCTCTGCTTCTGCAGAACGGGACAGCCAAGCAGGGGCCAGGCTGGAGGGTACTGAAGACCGTCATCCTGCCGTACAAAGGACTGGCTGACACGCTGGTTTTGTTCAGATTTTTCTGCTGCAGCGTTGCTATATTTAAGCCTGGTCTCACTTCTTTTCAAACAAACAAACAAATTCTTTGAAAGGGATCAATCCATCTTCTGGGGGAAAAAAACCTTGTGGGAAAAAATGAGCAGGAGCCACTAAAGCTGGGTAAAGGCATCATACAAAGCTTTTTGGTTAAAGGTTTGGGAGGTTGCCCAATTCAGCATTGTGATTTTTTTTTTTTGCATTGCTGGAGCTGGGGTGGGTGCTGCTTCCATATGATGCAACCGGCCTGCGGGCCGGCAGTTTGACACCCCTAGTCTAGGGTCCTTGCAGGGAGTGGTCCCCAAAGCTGTGACAGTGCAACTGAAAGTCCACCTGCAATGTATCTCAAAATCAGAGGGAGTGTCGGTTTCACAGTTGTGGCTGCCATCTTGACTTTCTGAACCTCACCTGGCAGCCTGGGAATTCCAGGTAAGGAAGCTGCCCTTTCCCTTTCACCGATAAAGAGAAAAATGGACTCTGCCAACTAGCTACCACCAACCACCTTTCTGTTAAAGAGGACCCCCACTTTGACAGCCCTGCTCAGATGATACCTGCACCTCGCAAAATGCTTGGACTGCATTTCAGGCCTAAGCAGGTTGCTTGAGGCCAGCATTTTTATCAGTTTTGCACAGAGGCTACTTCTATCTAGATGGTTTTGGGGTTGGAGGGAGCAGGTGTAATTCCTTTTCCTGACCTATGAAAACTCAGAAGGAAACCTAGTATGCACCCTTCACGTGATCGGACACGTCTGCAGATGCATAACTTGGATTGAGGAGGTGGGCCGACTTTTCCCCGCTAAAGGGGCAGGGAAAGGCCGGGGGAACAAGAGGCTCCGGGCAGCAACCAAGAAAGGCCGGCGTCGTCCGCAGAATCCCAAAGTTGGGGCGGGGCGTCCGTCCCTGGCCATGATGACGTTAAAATGACGCAACGCCCCTCCCAGCGCGCGTCTCTAAGCGAGGTTGCTTGGCAACGCCCCTCTCGACGCGCCTTGGCCTCCATCGGCTTTAGGCCGCGAAGAAGTGTGGGGGGGGGCGCATCTTTCTGCTGAGTCTTTGCTGCCTCCCCGCACGCCACGAAACCTGAGGGGGGCAAGGCCACTCCTTGAAAACTAGCCCCGGCCCCCCCTCCCCGGCCCTCGCGGTGGCTCCGGCGCGGGGGAGGTGGCGTTGCTATGGCAGCCTCTCCGCCAGGCCCCGCTGGGAGGGGGCGCGGTAGGAGGAGTGGGCGGGGCGAGGGATCAGATCCGCCCCGCCTCTGGAGTTCCCCGCCCGGCCGCGGGGCGCGCTCTGATTCGCTGCTGCTGCTGCTGAGGCGGCGGCGCGTCGGGCGGGAGGAGGGGGCGGCTCTGCGGCTTCCCCCGTCGCCTCGCCTCGCCTCGCCCGGCCTGCCTCGCCTCGCTGCGCCGCGCCTCCTCCGAAGATGGCGGCCCGCACGAGCCCCTCATGCTAGGCGCGCGCCGCAGCCCCAGCCCGCCGCCCGCGCCTCCAGGGGCCGCGGAGAGCTGCTCCCCTGCCGCCGCCGCCGCCGCCGCCTCAGCCGCTTCAGCCGGCAGCAGCAGCAGCATCATCGGAGCGCCGCGCAAGGTAGAGAGGACGCTGGCCTGGCGGGAGGCCGCTGACACGCGTCGGGTGGGTCGCTCGGACGCGCCGCCGGGCCCGGCCGCGGCGCCCCGAGACATGCGCACTGCCCGCCGCCGGTCCGCCTGGAGACAAAGGGCGGGCGGGGGGCCGGGGGGGTCGGGCCCGCGGGCGGGGCGGCGGCGGTGTGCTGAATCATGGCGGGACGGAGGGAGACGCGACCTTCCCCGGGCGGGGCCTTCCTGCCAGGCGGAGGAAAGGGCGCGCTCTGCACCTGCTCAGAGGCCCGGGCGCCGCCAGCTGGCTGGGATGACGCACGGGCGCTTGAAGATTTCAACTCCCAGCATTCCCCGGGCCGCGTGGAAGCCCGGGAGGGGAAGCCCGCCCCTCTTCGAATTAGAGACCCAGGTGGGGAAATGGGGAGCCCCCCCCGCCCCCCCCGCTCGTTTCCCCCAGCCAGAGGGGCCCAAAGAGACGGGCCGAAAGAAGCGGCTGCTTCGCCCAAGGTTGTCCCCAGGAAGGGAGCAGGAGCTTCTGCCTCTCCGGGCCTGAGCCTGGCTCCCTTGTGGCTGGTCAAGGGGGGAGGAGGAGGAAGAAGAAGAAGAGGAGGTTTTTCTTTCTGGCCTTGGTTTGATGAGGCAGGACTGCTTGTGTCCCTCCTTTGGGTTTATTAGCTCCCTTTTCTGTTTTGGCCAGGTGGTTTACTCAGAATAGAAATAAAATGTAAAAAAAAATAAAACAGCAGAACAACAATGAAAAATGCTTTCAATAGAAACCAAGGTTGGGATGGCAAGTTGGTGACTGGGCTTGTTCAGTATATCCCCCGTGGACGGTGGGGCAAAGTGAAGCTCTCAGAAAGGTGCCTCTCCACTCTGCAGCTTCCGGGAAGCTTAAAATCAGGATTTTCCGGGGGGGGGGAGGCGGCCTCCGTTTAATCACCCTCCCACTCCGTTTGGATGTCAGCAAGCGGTGCTTTCTTAGCATTGCAGTGATGGAACTGTGGGATGGGATGCCCTCCGGGGTGACTGTTGCAAGGAAAGAGCTGGGGAGCCCCAGAGTGGAAGCTGGTTCCCCCCAGTACAGTTCATTGAGGTTTTTTTAATATAAAAAAGTTGTTATGGTGCAAGGATTTCAGCAGCCAAACTTTCCAGTCGAGCATCAATCTATCTGGGTGCCTGTTAAGGCAGAGCTTCCCTGAAGCTTTTTCTCAGAGCTTGGTGGTGCCCCAGAGGGAAGGCGTCTCCCTTCACTGATAACGGGGACGTTTATAGCTGGTTGTTGCCATAACTCAACTTTATCCATCTGTAAACCAGTTTTTGCATAGTCCAGAGCGTCCTGAGGTGTCTGGAGGGCATCCCTTGCCATCATTAGACTATAGATTTTCTCATCCAGTATGACCCAATAGAATGCCCCCTGGAATTGTGGGAATTGTAGTCAGCCACATCTGGAAGTTACCATAAGGGGAAGACTAGATCGCCCTTGGATTGGGGGTGCCTGCATTTCAGACTTTTGCTAGGCGCTGCCAAGACAAACCCTGAATTTTCTTTCAATTACTTTTCATTCAGCCTTGATTAAAAATTGAGTGTTGTTGGTGGGATTATTCTGCTGTCAAATTTCTTTCACGTACCTAGCTTTAAAAAAAAAAAAAGTGGGAGTTGCAGAAGAGGCTTTTGGCCAGATGCAATTCTAGTATCTCAGGTTGAATATCTCTGGAAGAAATAGATAAATAATTCTGTTGTCTTACGGATTGCTTTAATAAACTGTAGGAGAAATATTTGAAAAAGGGCAGCTCCAGTTGAATATAAAATTAAGGGGAAGTCATTAGAGGTGACTGGGTTAATTTTCCACCTGCTCGGTATCAGACATACATTTTTGGGAAATGCTCCACTGGGTTTGTCTCAGCAAAAAAGCAGAGGATAAATCAGCAGATTTTCAGGTGGCCACGTGGATGTTAACATGAGGCTTGGGTGTCTGTGAAACTGCTGAAAATGTCACAATGAGGGTGGGAAGCTTAACCTTCCCTCTGACTTGGCTTTGTGCATTGCCACATAAATCACAAGTGATTGGTTGTAGAGTGTTCCCAGGAAACTTTGGGAAGTTAAAAACAAGTTAGGCTGCTCTTGAGTTAACTTACAAGGCATGATGAGGAAGTTGCATTCTGATTGATCTGGGCCAGGTTTTATTTCCCCTGGGTGAAAGCGGCAGTCAGTTGCTAATGAAGGCTGGGGTAGACAGATTTCTCCTTGGGCTCCAGTGTCCTTTGCTTTCAGTTTGGACATAGCTGCATTACATCTGGGGAGATTGTTACTTGATGCAGTGCAGACAGAATCCAGCGAAAGTTGAATGGGGGTTATTGCACGTGACTCCTAAACTCAGAAGCTTCAGATGGAGAGACGACCCAGAATTGTGCAGAAAAAGAGCATTCCAATCTGTATACATTTAGACAAGGCCACACCTAGTCTGGTGTCTAGGATCTGAGTACCGTTCTGCTGACATGTTTACAAGTCAGGCTCAGATCTACAGCCTGCGACCGGCTTTTAGGGACGTGAATATTAATTTATTAAATTTCAAAGCGGATGCAAGCAGTCTTTCTAAGTAAGAAACAATCTGCCATTATGCCAGAAGATTTTTTCACCTTAAGAGTCATTTCCATCCATGAGGGGAAAAGAAAAGGTGGTGGGTTGCATCTTTAAATCCAGACAGTCACATAAATAACTAGTATTTGAATAGTCTTTTGCCAGGATATGTAAAGTAAAGTTGAGAATCAAAAGCCACAATTGAAAACCAGCTTTGGCGTCAGTTGCCTTGCAAAATATTCAAGTTCTGCTGATAACAGTAATACATTTTAAATTCTTTAGCCTCCATGGTGAACTCTTGCTCACTATGTGAGTTTCTCCCCAAAGTGACATAAATGAGGTTTGTGACTCTGTAAGGCTGAGGGTAGAGTTGGTAAAATTGATATCTGTTAGAAGTTCTGCCACCCCCATTTAGGTGTGAAGTATTCCTGTGCACCCTTGGCTGTGTATAACTTATGGGCAAAATATTCAACTGTATCTTCAACACACTTTTCATATTGGCAAGAAAAAAGTGAGAAGAATGTTTAATAAGTGTGTATATAATTGCAAACTATATGTAATAGGGTTTTTTTGTCAGATGTTCTGGACCCAGCTTATTAGCATAATTGTGATCATTTATCAACAGCAGGCATTGTTAGAGGCTTTATAGAGCTTTGTAAACAAAGAATTAGGTTGTCTGTGTGCATTGTGTTTATATGAGTTAGGGATATGTGAGGGTTGGCTTTAAAGACAGTATTTGAAACTGGTTTAGTTGAATCTCTGAATCAGTCTCCAGAATTCAGAAAAATTAATCAAAAGTCCCAAATTGTTATTTGTGAGTCAGTCTATTATAGCAGGAGCACTTTCAATTTATTTATTTATCAAATTTATATGGCTGTCTATCTCACAAAAAGTGATTACAACAACACTGCAGTAAAAATTAGCAAATATATAACAGTCATGATAAAAATATTAAAAAACATTAAAATAAAAATAAATGCCATACATGTGGCATGCAATGCAAATTTTTAAAAAAGACATATCTCTACTCTTGAGCTGTTTCTGATGGGCAAATTGCATCAACTTCTCTTTGCCTGGCTGTCATTATTTTACCTGACAGGTATTCGTCTTTTGTCCTCCTGCAACATCTTTCAAACACACAAGAGAAGACAGAACTGCTGAGAAAGAGGCAGAACCAATGTTGCAAATCCATAAGGCTTTGCATATTAGGCTTGTCTGAACAGTTTAAGCCTTTCTCAGTGGGAGGGAAAAGAAACTGCAAGTAAAGTTAGGATCTGTTTTGTTCTTTCCAGATCTTTTAGGATCACCATTCTCCAACACTTGTTGGTCCTTTCCTGATGTGTTGGGATTCCAGTTCCCAGCATCCTCAGCTACAGTGGTCGAAGATACCCCTGAAGGGCTGTATTGGGGAAATCTGGCACAGAACTTGACTCAACTCACCCACCCTTTGAAGAAGCAACTGCCTTTGGGGCACAGGGAGAGAGTGGGTTGCTCCATGCCCAGAGGGCTAAACTGAGGCCGCATGCACATTGGGGGAGGGGGGCTGCGATCCAGTGGCTTATCCAGTGCCCTGTGCATCACTTGGAATCTGAAGCAGATTTGGATTCCTTTGTGCAAGCAGCTGGTGGTCAAAGGTTTTCTGAAGGGAAGGCCCTCTCCTCCTTGCAAAAGGAGTTGGGAATTTTGGCAGCCCTCCCAAAAGATCCTGGCTGCCGTTTGCCCAGTGCCATTTATTGTTCTGCTTTTGGCATCCCCTTTCCCCCCCAAAGCCAGTTCACCACCCACCGCCAAAGCTGCCAAAGCTGAAACCTTGGGCTGTGTCAAGAGTGTGAGGCCCACGGAAGGGTTTGTGGAGATGCAGGCCAGGGAAGAGGAGCAGCTTCTGCTGGGCGGGACGAGGGGGTCAAGTTGGGAAAGATGAGGTGGGGGAGGGGGACATTTTTTTCTTTTTGGGGTGTGTGTGCCACCCTGCACCAGGCAGCTCTGGCACTGGAAGAAACTTCTGTCTCTGTGCAGAAAAATAAAGTGGCTCTGGGAGCACCTTTCCTGACTTGCAGGTTCTAGTAAAATGCCTCTTAATAAAGTTTGTGAGTTGGAGAAAGCATTCCCAAGACGGTCCTCGTTTTTTGACCACCGTTCCTTAACTTAGCTCTCCTCTAAGTTTTTCTGAGTGGGAGTCTGACTTTGGTGCTGTCTGGCTGGGAGCACCGAGCCCTGACCTGGAATGGTGCACCATAGGCCAAATGCCCCATGTCACCGTTGGCATGAGCAGATGTGAGGCCTGGGAATGGGGTTGCAGATGTCCCTTCTCCACTTTCTGCCATTGCTTGGAAGAAATTCATTTTGTCCCTTCTCTGAGAGAGAAGCCAAAGTCAGATTGCTCTTGTGATTTTTCCTGCATTTGGACAATTAAAAAAAAGAATTAATATGCACATGCAGACATCAAATGCGGCAGCTTCTCTACAGTTCCTCTAC